TCCGCTCGGATGACAAAGATGTTTTAGATGAAGATGGCCTCCGCCGCTGCCTCGGCGCCTACCAACAAGGAGGCAAACGAGGACTCGACGACGATGACACCAACGACGTGGAACGTCTGCTTGAGCAGATCCGCAGCACCCGCGACGGCCCACGCATCCTGCGCCAGCAGCTCTTCACCTTCGACGACTTCCACCGCATCCTCTTCTCCCACGATGTCAACCCGCCCATCCGGCACCGGCGTGTCCACCATGACATGACGCTGCCTCTCTCCCACTACTTCATCTACTCGGTCCACAACCCCTACTACGCAACGGCGGCAGACCAATGGCTCTGCAGCAGCCACGGCCGCAGTGATGAACCCATCATCAGGGCGCTCAAGATGGGGGTAAGGGCCATCGAGGTCGCCATGTGGCCCAATTCAAAAGCGGATGACATCAAAATCCACCATGGCTGGTATGGTACTCTCTCCTCATCTTACACTACACACTCTCTCTCTCTCTCCTGTACTTACACTGTCTTATACAATATACGAATTAAATTCTGCACAGGACACAGAACACCCGGGTTGTACTAACTGAGTGCTTGAAATCCATCAAAGAATACGCCTTTATTGCATCTCGTTATCCTGTTATCATTACGCTTGAAGACAACCTACAATCGTCTAACCTCCAGAAAAAAGCTGCCAAGGTCGGTCCGGTCTGGTCCCTCGATCTCCTTCTCTTTTTCTTTTTCTTTGCATGTGATGATTATGAAATTGTTGCCGTGCGCTTCTTTATCAATCTCCTCTTCTACCTACCTAGCTAGTTGCTGTTAATCATTTTGTTCCCTAATAATGTCGTCGGTGCTTCTGGAAATTAATCTCGTTATTACCACTTAGGTTTTCCTTGATGTACTTGGCGACGTACTGTACTGGCCTCATGCCGATTACATTGACGTACGTGGCAACGCTTACAGTAATAATAAACCCCTCAAAGATTTCCCTTCGCCTGACGAGCTCATGGGTGCTGTACTCCTCTCGACAAAGCCCCCAAGCCATCTAGAGGTTGATGTGTCAGAGGACGATGACGATCAGCTTCATGTTCACAAAGGAGCTGACGACAAGGATGCAGCATGGGGGCCAGAAGTACCGTTTTTTCAGACTGAAAAAATCCAGTCTGATCATCAGAAGGTAAAGGGCTCGTAGTTTCTGTTCCTCTTTCCATGCATGCCACGGCCTACATATAGATGAGATGATAGAATCTATTCATTGAGATTTCACCAGCGCAATATTATTTCTAATTGTGATTTACCCTAGCAGCACGATGGTGGTGTCTTAGTACAGCCAAGACGGCGTAACGACGATTACGATGATGAATATCCACTGTATCGCCACCTGATTACAATTAGACCAGATAACCTTTTTCCTAGAGGCAGACCAACCTCGAAGATGGAACCGCCGCCGGATGATGATGTCTTGCAGAGTGAACCGGTTGAAGTTAGGCGTCTCAATAAGCAACAAATTGCAGAGTATCGTGGCACCGACATTGTGAGGTAAACAATGTAACAAGTTCATGGATAGAGATATATTCAATAGCCAGCTACAAAATTAGTTATTCTATAGCCACCTAAATTTACGATAATTTTATATACTAATTTATTTATAATGTCAATACATATCTATGATAGTTGGGTTATTATAACACATGGAGATATTTACTATAACGTTATAGTAAACCACTTAGTAAGGAGTTACTATAATCTCGTAAATTAATATAGTAATTAACATAATTCAAAGTTGCTAAAGAATAAGTTATTTTGTAGCCTGATACAGGGTAGTAGTTATATATATATATATATATATATATATATATATATATATATATATATATACGCGCACGCACTGTTTACCAACAACGTGCTCCCTTTACATCTTTGATTTGACGGCAGCAGTCCTCCTTCATGCATGTTTTTTTACACAGCAGCAGTCATAGGTGGACCCAGGGTCCGGCAACCCTGGGCCCTTGCCCATGCTCCTCTCTTGGTAATCCCTTGGGGCCCATTAGACGGCCCATTAGCTGAGCATGGATTATCTGGGCTGGAAGCAGTGTAAAAGGATATCGCAGTTGCCTCGCCCGGCCTGCTCCGTCTGCCCGTGTCCGCTACTAGCAGCAGTAGAAATAGCTAGGGTGACAATGGTGATATATACCATACCATCTATGTTAATTAACTCAAACGTTACTGATGGGTACCCTGTAACCTCTTCCCATTGTTGAAACGTCCAATCAATCTTCTGGGTTCGAATAGGTTCACACAGAGAAACTTACTGTGGATATACCCAAGTGTCTCCATCAAGGGCTACCCAAGGGCCACTCGCGTTACTTCATCCAACTACAATCCATTTCTCGGCTGGGTGCATGGTGCTCAAATGGTGGCCCTGGATATGCAGGTATATATAATTCTGTTTCACAACTATTGATTGCCTACAAATTTCCATAGTTAAGATCGATGATAAGTTCAATTATATATTTACATCCATATATATTTACAAAGACTGAACAAGAAATGGCAGAAATGCACATATTGATTACATTAGGAAGAGGCTACACTAGCTATGTTACACATTCTGAGATCTCTGATGGGATCCGTTCCATGGAATTTGTTGCAAGGGATAAAAGTGACAGGTTTTCTTTGCAGCTGCCGCTAGTGAGTCATTAGAGCAACTCCAAAAGCCTCTTGATATCCTTCTCAGATGATAGAAATAAAAGTTTAGTAAAACAATGCCCTCCAACAACTTTTTAATTAGATCTTCAAATATTATCATCCTCTGAAGAAAGACTCTTGGAGATGCTTTTAGTGACATTGGCACAACAACTATCACTTTTGTCTACGCTCATTTTTTTTCGAAAAGCTAACAAGAAGAATATGCGGGGGTATATATTAATACACAAGAAACGTTTTACAATAAGAAAAACAACAACAACACCCTCATGAAAGAGATGACAACAAAACACTACCACACCACAAGAAACACAACACCAGCAAACCTCAGAAATAGCGGCCAACAAATGCCACCCTGCATACTATAAAGAACAAGCAAAGAAAATTAGGAGGGTGTCGCATAAATGCCAGTTTGCCTGGTCGTGCGGTTTCACTCTATCTTCTATAACGATACTCTTGTTTATTTCAGGAATATGGAAGAGCCCTTTGGCTAATGCATGGATTTTACAGAGCCAATGGTGGCTGTGGCTACGTGAGAAACCAGACTTCCTAATAATGCAAACAGAGCCAGAAGTTTTTGATCCAAGGAAACACCTACCTGTGAAGAAGACCTTGAAGGTGCGGCTGCTAGCAGTATAATTTGAACTGTCATAATCTATCCATTGTAAAACTCAGAGACTAATGAAACAAACAAACGCTGCCTGTGTTTCAGGTCAAAGTATACATGGGCGATGGTTGGCTGACGGACTTTAAGCACGCACACACGTCGTTCATTCCAGATTTGTGGACGTCGGTACGTAGACTTCAGATTGTACCCCACAAGTTAACCAGCATAGGTTTTTATATTACTACTTACTAGTACATGCTAAGGCTCAAAACAACAAACCAATTTCTAGCTAATTTGAGCTCACCAGCAGAGGAAAAATTAAAGGTCCCCATTAACTATTCTTTAGTTTTTCTTGAAAATCACACAAATATAAACCTCGGTAACCAATCAAGAAAATAAACTTGGATATAGAAATTTAGCTAGCTTCTTCTCTATCGATTCCACTGGTTGGTAGCAGGTTGGGATAGCCGGAGTTCCAGCAGACACTACGGCGATGAAGAACACCAAGGCCACGGAGAATACTTGGGTTCCGGTGTGGGAGGATGAGTTCAGCTTCGACCTGACGGTCCCCGAGATCGCTTTGCTCGGGTGGAGGTGCACCAGTATGACGTGTCCGAGAAAGACGTCTTCGGCGGGCAGACCGTGCTGCCGGTGTCGGAGCTGCGGCCGGGCATCCGGCGGTGGCGCTCTTCGACCGCCAGGGGAACAGGTTCGACAACGTCAGGCTCCTCATGGGCTTTGAGTTTGTTTGATTTGAGAAATGGTGTGTGCTGTGCACTACTGTAACATGCTGTTGGAGTGTTGGGATTGATCCATCCAAGTTGACCACTCATTGCATTGGTGCGTATTGGACGTACGGCCAAGATGGTGTACATATATATGATGCGTAAGACACTAAGACTTCTAGAGATTCCTTTGTATCGATTCATTGGATTGGATTCTCTATATTACATTGTTAATATAGCCACCTCAACTATATCATCTTCCTGACACGAACATCCATCACCCATGGCGGATTTTATGCAAATTGCAAAAGATACAAGATGCAATAGTTCACAACAAAGAACTGCTTCTCTAACCACTGAACTATTAGATGGAGTCATTTCAATCCTAAGATGAGTTGGCGGCTGAGGACTATGACCCTGTTTCGCCAGACTTCTGGCATGAGCAATGTATATTGTCAAACTAGTCTTTACAGGTGGGTCCATGTAATTGATCTTTTGTTATTTGAAACCACACAATGTACCATCCATGAGGAGGGGCCCATATCGAAAATAAAAAATTGCACTCCCAATTAATAGTCCGCTCGTCCCCCCTCGATCTCCATCTTCGCACCGCACCTCTGCCTCTTAAACTCTTTGCTCTGCCTGGTCCTCTCCCTCACCAGAATAGATGTGTGGCAACCTGATTCAAGAGCCCACATGCTGGACTAGTGTTCCCATTGCTCAATGGAGTTCTCTATAGTGGCTGCCTGCATTCTTGGTGTGGAGGGAGGGGAAGGGATAGGCTTGAGCGCGCTTCATGTTGGAACTAGCGCTTGAGAGGATGTTGCCCGAGTTGTCCCTTTTGATCCCTACAGCTACCACCCAAACGCTATAGTTAGGGATGCAAGCACCACGAGCCTGCTTAGCCGCCCCCCCCCCCACACACACACAAAAGGCCCGCTAGACAATTGCAGGTAGCCTGCTTTCTGTTGCGGGTTGAGGCATGCTAGCCTGCTAGTGCATGTCGCGATTCGATCTCTAGCCGCTTTGTGCGAGTCGACCTTCAGTCTCCACCGCTGCCCTAGCCTCTAGGTCTTTGCTCAGCCATAGTGAAAGTCTTGCTTTGGTTTTGGTGATCGAGTGACAACCTTAGGTGGAATAATATGTTTCATGTGAGATGAACATGTACTTAATCCACACAACACACTAGGTTGAACAAGACATGGTAGCCATAGTGGAGAGATGGCTTGTGCATGTGATCCAAGTGCTCAACTACTGAAGATGGAGGGACTTATTGAATATGAGGCATCGTGTAGTCTCATATGGTAAGGTGGAGAAGATCAAGGCGAGGCTTGGCTATGAAGGAGGGTTGTTGGGGTAAGGGCAAGCTAGAAGCTCAAACACGATGGACTGTCAAGGCGGTGAAGCATGAGTAGAGAGCTTGGCACCGATGGACCGAGGCAATAGTGAAAAGCAAGCAAGGCTACGATCGATGGACTAATAAGGACATGTGGAGCTATGAAGTGGATCATACCATCCATGGAAGATCAAGTCGAGTGTTGATTTGTGTTAATGATCAAGTGGCTTGATGGAGGAGCTTCATGCTATGGGCAATGGTCTAAGTAGCATGGTTCGCTACACTTAATGGATGACCACTGTTTATCATTTGATGAAGATGGAGAGTGGATGCTTGAGTGGCATCACCGACATGGAGATGGAATGGAATATGCAAGGCAAAGGTATATTTGTAGGGCATTTCATTTCATGGGTGTAAGGTTGAGTAGAGAAGTGCTTGACTGGGTTTAGGATATATCAAGAGGGGTTTTCTTGTTGGCTAATCGGTTATCTAGTGCGACTAGATAAGATCTAACTCACAATACATTTAGATCGAGTGGCGTGGTAAGGAGGAAGTGAAAATCTTTACAAAATGCTTTTGAAAATGCTAACTCAGTGCTAAAGGAGTTGTTGTCATGTTGTACATCATTTTGGGAGTGTCGGTGTTTGTTGACCGCAACTTGTCATGGGGTTACCCGGACAGTAGATCGGAGGGCTTCATAAAGCGTAACTCGTGGAAAATGCAAAGACAATGATTTTATCTCGGTTCAGCCGCTTGAATAGCGTATTACCCTAGTCTAGTTAGGCGTGATGCCTTTGGGTTGGGGTGTTGTGTATGATGAGATGTATAAGGGGCGTGCCCTGCCTCCCATTATATAGTCCAGAGGGCAGGGGCATTAATCTAGTCCTAGTCGGCTATGACATAAGAGTCCTTGTTCTATTCCAAAATCTGGCTTTCCTTAGTAGTCCAACTAGGTCTGTTCTTGATAGCTTGGAGATCACGCCACCTTGTTCCGTGTCTTCAAGCACGTTATGGGCCAGCCCAGACCCATGCGAGTAATTGGCCTTGTGGGGAACCCTTAGGATCCTGGTCCGTCAAGCCCCCGAGCTCTTCATGGTTGATCTTGGAAGTCTTCTTGAGTCTGCTAGACCTGTCTAAGTAGAATCAAGCATCGTCCGAGTACAATCAAGCATCATCCGAATTCTTTCGAGAGAAGCCATGCAGTGCTCTTGAAATTTTTAATATGCGTCAGCGCTAGGTGAAGCATATATGCTTTAGCCCCTAAGCCTCTTGTTGTTTAGCATAAAGAGCTGGAGGGTCTTGTCTTAAAATTGCTCCAATTCCTTTTGAAGAAATTTAAATGCATCCGCTGAGGATATATATCCCGCAGCCCCCAAGCCTAAAACCATCTACTCGATAGTTGATTGTAGGATCTTATAGACATCCGCAGGGGTGCAGGTGAGTTAACTCCTAGATCACTTTTGCAGAATCACTGGTCACCGAGTAGTTGCAAGCTTGAATTTGAGCCCCCGAGCGTAGGTGCCACTGAAACCGACTAAGCTGCTTGGGTGAAAATATCTGGCTGAAAGGTGGCTAAGATCATTCATAAGTGCAAAGCTTCGCGTGAGTGATTCGCTCAATGGGAATCCCTATGTCACCCCAACTCTGAAACTCACAAACAATCCATACCATATTCCAATGAAGTAGTAACTAGTCTGCAAAGGTCACATGCGCAATAGTGAACATTGTACCCGGTTTGTCCAGTGCAGTACTATAGCATCACATGGCGAATGAGAATCTTATCCTCGAGACCGTATGAATGAGTCAGAACTGAGTCAGCTTGTCCTCAAGCCCCCGGGAATCCTTATCTCAGTCCCCGGAAAATGCATAGACCCGGTCCATGGTGAACACAAATGGAGCTATAAATACCCCCGTGACGAGCTGTATCAAACACACCAGAAGTAGTTGTGCTATAACACTTAGCCTCCCATCGTCAAATATGACTGTAACCGAAATGTCTGAGCCACCGGGAGCAGTCGGTGTAGGTAATAGGAAGTCTGTCTTGCGGCTAGAAGAATTCTTGTGATAGAGTCTAGTGTTAGGCTAGTCTCAGAGTAGTGCAAAACAGAGTAGCCTGCAGCTGCAACTAAAAGAAGTCTTGTGACATGGAATTATGCCGCGTTCATAGTCCCATGTCAGTTCTTTGAGTCCAAGTTGGTAGCATGTGCTTCTAGATCCTCCTACATACTAGCCACCATGCTTTCAGTTGCTATAGACTATTTCTTCTGCGTAGCCGAGCGAAAAGTGTTCGCAGTCCTTTGGCAAGCCCAAGTTATTGGCTAGGGATCACTTGAGCATCTCGAGTGAGTCCAGACGTCGAAAGCTTGGGTAGACAGATGCCGGAGACAAGGCATTGTTCTCTTTCAGGCTGCCATCATCATTTGTAGGCTAGGAAGTTTTGCACGGCCTCACCCATACCCAGATGCACTGCTACTCTGTCCGTGAAGCCAGGTGCACTGGGCTATATGCTACTGATCTGAGTTGCTTTATAGTGTTTGTATCCAAAAACGGCCGAGTAGGCCGAGTACTTGTAGCACTTGAGCGAATATGTACCTACTCTTCCTAAGAATGAATAAATTCTTGAATTTATGAGATTTCCATCTACAATTTGCATTGCTGGCACTATATGCGTCCCATCTTATGTACTTGTAACTTGTAACTGACGCGGTATTGCAAAACCGCGTTAACAGCATTAAAAACCATGTTGGAAGGCGAAGAGCTATCTCTCCATTGGCACTATAACGGTTACCTTTGACGGCGTTGGGGCATTCACACCGGTAGCGGACTGGAGAAGGAGGCGGAGCCGTACATAAATAGCCCCCGAGGGGTAAATGATTTTTCACCCCCACCACAATCTGTTTGCCAGCAGCCGCCACCACCTCTGCTCCAGTGCTCTTGCGAAACCCTAGCCCCCAAACTCTGAATGCGAGTGAAGCACTCAGTATATTTCCGCATCATGCCGAAGTCAAAGAAGGCGAGCTAGGCTGACGAATCCAAGAAAGGTGGGAAGAAGGGTTCCAAGGCCTCAGATCTGTTTGCAGCGGAACTACAGATCTGGGAGGAGTTGAAGGTAACCGAAGCTGGGTTGGAGAAATTGCATCGGGAAGGCATCCTGCCGAGTAAGCAACTTGGCGAGTGGAGAGCGCCTAGGGAACACCATGTCCCCACCCCAGTCACAGGTGAAATCGTCATGTTCACTCCCTTTTTCAAGCGGGGCTTGGGGTTACCTGCGTTCGAGTTCTTTTGGGGGTTACTCTTCTTCTACGGGATTGCCATGAACCATCTCAACCCCAACTCCATTCTCCAACTCTTCATTTTCGTTCATCTTTGCGAAGCTTTTCTTGGCATTCCTCCTTCCATCACCCTCTTCCGATATTTCTTCAAGCTAAAGCCTCAACCGGAAGCTACAAACCCGGCGGTCCTAGGCGGGGCAGGCATCCAGTTCAGGGTCGGGAAGAAAGTCGAATTCCAGACATATGTCCTGAAAGATTCCAACAAGTTCTGGAAATACAAATGGTACTACTCGGGAAACCTGCTCCCATAACTGGAAACACACAGCATGGAAGCGCCTCAAATCAACGCAAGATGGGAACAAGAAACCCTGACAGAGCTTGAATTGGAAGGCATCCGACCACTGATCAA